ACAAGAAGAATACATAGTGAACAGAAGACAAGACCTCTTCACTCATGTAGAGCACAGTTGGAAATTCCAGCAACTAGTAAACACCAGCGATGAAAACGGCCGGGAGGTAACTGTATCCTATGTTCGTACAATCCAAGGCGAACTGGATCTCCATCGTTGTCAAGGAGAGTGGTTGAGGAGATGGAAAAGATGCTAATTTAAAGCGCGTTGTTGGCGTTTTGTACCAAAGGAGTGCTACCGCAAAGACCACCGCCAAAATTTGAATTCTTTTCTGAATGGCCGAGTGCATTGACCGCTTCCTGCGATGAGGAGTTGAGTTTTGAATGTTCTGTCTTGGCGTCTGGCTGAGAGCAAGAAATCTGTAATTATAGTGCTGTGTGCGCTCTTGCCTGTGATTTGAGCAATGTAATTATTCATTGAGTATTACCTAGCTGCTGCGGCGTAAAAATGTTGCTTTAGGATATTGATAAACGCCAGGCAAGGTTGTTTTTTTTTCAACAGGCATGTCTGTCTTCCCAAAATATCCTGTTTTGTTTTTAATGTTGTTGTTTTGTTTTTATTTGGTCTTTCTTTGGGAAGGGAGGTTGGGGGTGGGGGTCAAAATAAGTTACAATGACTTCAACCGTGTCTCCTAAATTGTGATACTCTAATGAAAACAAAAGGAAATGGACAATGATAGTAATTTGTGCACAAACCTATTATTGGGGTTATTGAGGAAAACAAGACAACACAACCAACTAAAACAAAACAAGCCTACAAATAGATCGATCAGAGAAAACCTTAGACCAGACAATCAATAATAGCAGTGTATTTCTCTCGCTGAACAGAAAAGAGGGAGAAAGCCCTGGGACCCTCAGGTCTTGATCCTGCTGGGTACAGGGAAAGGCCCGCGGGCGGGCGGGCGGGATGGCTATCGCTGTCACGCCACGCGGTGTCAGGTGTCAGCCCCGGAATGTTGGAAAAGATGCTACAGGAGCGTGTTCAGTACTGTTCAAGTTCAGCGTAGGGGGCCATGACTGACCCACCCCTCGTTCTTTTTTTCACCCTTTTTTTTCGTTTTTGCCTCCTTTTCGTTTTCAGTGAACGTTTTGAATAGGCCATTTGAATGTCCAGCATCATGTTTGTACTAGAGGTTCTATTGCGGTTGCACCGCCTATTCGCTAACGACATGACTTCGTGGATTTCTTTTAAAATGACCAATTCAAGTTTGCGCAAAAAATGAATTAATTAAATTAAAACAATGTAAAAGATAAAAACTGGTCTACAGTGGAACTCGGTATTTGAGACCATATCTCAGGGAATTGAGTTTTGTGTTTTCCTCAGTCGCACATCTTGCCTGTGATTTTGTAGAAGACCGCTTCGACTCGCGACCTTGGAAAAAAAATCAAACACGTTTGATTTTGAAGGTCACAGTCGAATTTAGTTGAATTGGGCTGTATTGTGCCAAAATGGTAGCCGTTGCTCCGTCCATGGCGGAAGATCTGGCTGGCCGCGACTCATTCCGATGAATTTGACTGGCAGTGTGCCCTGAGTATAACCCGATGCTAATAAACAGACTCGCTGGTATAGATCTAACCTACAATGCCTCGGTGGAACATCGCTAGAACGGCACATTGACATACAGAGATAGCTGGTACCTCTATAAAAATAATTAATGCTTTAGGCCAAGAAGACCCTTGGACGTTAAATTTGGAGGTTCAGACTCTTAAATAACGTGACAGTGTTGACAAGGGCGTTAAAGCTATACAATGACAAACAACGAAAAGAGGAACGTATGTGGGTAGTTGGCATAAATATGCCCTGATCTGGTTTGCTCAGTCATTGCTGTCAAACATTCATCGTCCTTACCTCTCCTCCTCCTTCTCTTCGTATGTTACTCTCAAGTAACACCTCTAATCTCCGGTACATATATGACCTATTTGTGTTGCAACCAGTCACGTAAAACTCTTTCTAAAACTAAACCCAGAGGAATGTCATGTAGTAACCTTGTGAAGGTGCGCAGTGTACATAACCAAGAGATGCCTTGGTCGTCCCGACTGTGTCTGGGGTCATGGTGGCTGCCTTGACTTTTGCTGTGTGACGTCAGTGTGTGAGGTGCGCCGGCGCAAAGCTAAATACACACACACACGGGGGGACGTCCAGGATAGGGTGTGGGTGTGAAGGGAGGCTTGCTGGAGTTGAAAAGTCGTATGTATAGAAATCTACTGCTATGATGATCTACAGATCAGTGCTTGCCAACATGGGCTGTTGGGAAAGGCACTTTACACGAATTTCCCATTTGACTCGGTTCTTTCTGAGATGGACGTTAAACTCGGAGGTCTCGCCTCTTAAATAACCTAATAGTGTTGATAGGGGCGTTAAACCTATACCATTTCAACATGGGCTGTGTCGTCCACTTGTATGCAGTTTACGTAATCTTGATGGGCAGTGGAGGTACCCTAGTAGTGACAGGTATTATTTAATGCCCTCTTTGGAAATACATACATGTAGGGTAGGTGGCCGGTCGAAAGATATAAACCTCTTAAAGGTGGCAAGAGGTTAGCTCTGGTTATTAAAAATGGACATGCACTATCTAGACTACGAGATTTTACATGTTCCATTGGGCTCCTGGCTCTTTTGACTTTTTTCTGTTTGAGAGAACTCTTTAATGGCCCCTCTTGGCAATGGGATCTCTTTGCTCTACACATTTTCGACGTGGTTATCTGATTCTTGGTGAAATTAGCCGTTATCCTGCCAACTCACCTTTAAGCTGTTAACTGCCTGTATTTACTTTGACCATCAATAGTTCGGTCTGCAATATTCCGATATTTATATCTGTCAACGCGTGGTTCGAGAATGCCACTGGTAGGTGCTACTTCTTTACCTTCCCTTTGTGGTTTTTGTATTCTGGTCATGCTTTTTCTCAGCTCTAAATGATCAAGATTATTCTACAGCGTCTTTTGTTCCTCAAACTAAAGTAAAATTACCC